CCCCCCCTTCCCCTACCCCCCTCACCACGACTTGGAAGGCCGTCGAAACGCCGACGCGCTTCTTGGCGGCTTGTCCACAGCCATATCGCGGGCATCATGACGTCCATCCACTCTACTATGCTCAGCAGTTCTAAAGGACCCCAATCAAGCGACAACGTAGGCCCAACCAACTAGCGCCAACCCTCGGTCCCCTTGGGAATTTTCCAAAAATCATACAACCACCACCATGCAAAATTCTCTCCCCTGTATTTTTTCCCGATACACATTCTATATTCTGTTTTCCACAACTCGAGGAACACGACCGAGGCCAACCAGTAACCAAGCCTTGGTCCTCCCTGTGACGAATGGGCTCTACTCCTAAGCGACAATCCCTGACGTGACGGACTCGACCACATAGAAAATCAATTATGTCAAATCTCTCCCCTTTATTGTTGCCTTTTCCCCCGATACTTGTTTGTTTTGTCAGTCGTTGTTTCGATTGTTCTAATTTTTAACTTGTGCCGCCCCCGGTCTTCCCGTCGCCAAGGGCGTGGCACACCCCAGGATGGACAAACCTTGTTCCGGCAGGACAAGGATGACTGATGACCACTCCGCCGACGACGCACACCGCATCCATGACGACGAGGCGTCGACGTTTCAGTCGTTGGCGGAAACAACCGTCGTCCACATCGTGGTAGTGGAGACCTTTGGCGGTACAATGGTGATATGACCGCTGGGCGTTCACCATCCGTGACTCGAGACCACGCGACCAAGGGGATGATGCCGGTACGGAGAGGAGGGGGCGATCGACGCGACGGAGGAGATGCCGGACGCTGAGTTCACAGATGTGCACCGAGGGTTGGTGGTGGAAATGAAGGAACGACCGTCGGCTTCGGCTTGGTGTCCCGACCGCTGGAGAAACCGACTCCAACTCTGTCTCCGACGGCGAGGTTGGATGGACCGCGAAAGTGCTGGACGCGATATTGGAGGGACATGCAACCGTTGGATGTCCCTCCAATGTCCCGTCCAACTCTTTCGCTGCCAATTCCAACCTCGCCGTCGCATCCGGAGTTGGAGTCGGTTTGCTCCAGCGGTCCGGAAACAAAGCCGTAGCGGACGGTTGTTCCTTCACTTCCCACCAACAACCCCCGGTGCGAATCTGCCAACCCCGCCTCCTTGTCGTGCGTGAGAGATCTTCCCGCTCCGAAACCCTGTCCCCGCGTGTTGGGCTCAGCGTCCGGGACCTCTTCCTTTGCATCGCTCGCCCCGCCCCAGCTCCGTACCAGCCTCCCCTTGACACGTGGTCTCCCGACAACGACAGTGAACGCCTGGTGAGTTGTACGGGCTGCATCACCATGTGCCTTATCGAGAGCGCCAAACGTCGTCCGCCCCCAGCACGGTTTGGAAGGCCGTTTCTTCGCCGACGACTGAAACGGCGACGTCTCTTCTTGGTGGCTTGTCCACAGGCATATCGCGGGCATAACGACGTTCATGCACTCTACTCTCCTTCGCGTGCGCACTATGCTCACGACTTCCTTTCAGGAGGTCAAACCAACGTCGCGTCGATCTCGTGGGGAAATTCTCAAAATTGTAACAATCATGTAAATTCTCCGTGTTTTTTCTCTCGATGAATACTTTTGACATTGAATTTTTTTCCCACACCTTGAGGCACACCACACCGAGGCCAACCAGTAGCCAAGCCTTGGGCCTCTCGGAAAACAAAAATTAACAATCGAAACCCATGGAAATTAATGCAAGCGTCTCCCATTGTTCCCGATATCTAATAAGTCACCACTTTGTTTCAACTTCTGCCCTCGATTTTTTGTATTTGCCTCGTTGTATTTTCTCTAGCCACGCCTCCAGGGAGGCGACGTTGAACGACTTCAGTATTTTTTTTTTTAACTTGCTTGTCCCACACAACACAATAAATGATAATAAAAGAAAACACGTATTCCTTACTCCTTCTCTTGCCGCCACGACGACACACACAGTCCGTAAGGGTTCAAAGCAATGTATTGCCACCACACCTGAAGGAATGCGATGTTGAACGACTTCACGTCGGCGCGGCACTTGCCCTCGATGAGCCCCTTGATCACTGTAAACTTGTGCCACACGCACCGCCAGGTCACCGTCGCGGTGCAGCGCGGCTTGCCGGCGCTTCCGCTGCCTTCGTCGTCCGCCGCTGGTCGAATGATCCACCTTTTTCCACGCAAAAAGGAAAAAAAAAAACACACACACACACACACACACACATACACAATTCAGCGAGGATGACGATTCAGCGAGGATGATGTTGTTCTGCGGAGCCTGGTGTGCTTGGAGGAGGGGAAGACGGAAGCGGGGGGGGGGAGGAGACACCCCTTGACCGAGTTCGGAGGGCCGTATTGGGGATGCTGTATGCCGATGATGCCGGCGTCGTATCGAGTTCTGCAGAAGGACTGGCGAGAACGATGACCATCATCGTTGAGGTGTTCGGGGAGTTCGGGCTAACGATGTCGGAGAAGAAGACGGAGACGCTCCTGATGCGAGCGAAGGACAAGCCGACTACAACATCACAGCCCCCCCCGCCTCCACCGCTGACCATCGAAACCGCGGGACAGAAATACGCCCAGACGACCGAGTTCCGTTACCTCGATAGCCTCGTCAACGAACATGGTGATCTCACCCGGGGATCAACTACAGGAGCAGAGGAGCGTGGGCGTGCCTCAGGCGATATGGCCGGGAGCTCTTCGACAGACCGAAAGCGCCATTCCGACTCAAGATCCGCCTGCTCCAGGCGGAGGTGATGGAGGCACTGTTGTACGGCTGCATGACATGGTCACCACTCAGCGGCCACTATCAGACGCTGCGGTCGATAAATCACCGACTGCTCCTCCGAGTCATCGGGTACAACTGCAAGAAAGACACCTACCGGCGGCTCTCTTACGCCCAGACGCTGAAGAGGGTCGAATGCCAGAGCGTTGAAGCCACGATCCGACAACGACGCCTACTGTTCGCGAGAGCATTGGCAAGACAGCCGGACGGGCGACTCCCGAAACGACTGATGCTCGGCGAGCTGGCGGGGGGGGGAGAAACGACGTAGGGGGGGACAGGAACAGAACTGGCCGAAGTGTGTGCTTGACCTGAAGGCATTCGGGGCCGACCACGGATCTACGTAAAACCGATCTATGTTGTCGCGGAATCCCGGTATCGAAAGACACGGCCCCGAAGTTAAAGTGGACGGAAGCCGCGAAGGTGGAGCGGGGAGTACCCTGGCATGCGGCGGTGCTGCAGGGAGCTGAGAGGTTCATGACCTCCTGGCACGAGAAGGAAGAAGAGGCCAGCCGACAACGGGCGCTCAAACGAAACCACAAGCCACCAACCAATGGGGCGGGAGGGGNCTACGTAAAACCGATCTATGTTGTCGCGGAATCCCGGTATCGAAAGACACGGCCCCGAAGTTAAAGTGGACGGAAGCCGCGAAGGTGGAGCGGGGAGTACCCTGGCATGCGGCGGTGCTGCAGGGAGCTGAGAGGTTCATGACCTCCTCGCACGAGAAGGAACAAGAGACCAGCCGACAACGGGCGCTCAAACGAAACCACAAGCCAACCCCCAATGCGGCGGGAGGGGGCCAGGTGACGGAAGAGGCGGCGAGGGAAGAAAGCAAACGAGAAGAGACGGACCGAGTGGCGCGATACGTGCCGGATTGAATTTCGTTTAGCCAGTTCCCACCCCCCACCGCTGCACCATTGCACCAACCCCCCACTAGTGATGACGTACCATTACCATGTATCGCTGGTTGGTGGCCATGTTTGCGTGTTTACTTGTTCGTTATTGGTCTCTCCATCGTGTTCCTTTTTCTCTTATTTCTTGTTTTTGTTGGCCTGGTCCCTTTTCGTCCTCGCTCTTTTTCATTTCATTTTTTTTTCCTGACTATTTCCTTTCATTGTCTCTTTTTCTCTGTTTTCTTTTTTTTTTCTCTCTTTTCTGTGCCAGATGGCCTAGTCTCTGCTTACGTTGTGAGGTACCAAGATTGAATCAAGGGGGTGTACCTCATTCTCTCCGGCCCGTGATGGTGACTCCAAGTCTCAGTTGTTACCTCGCATAGCGCGCAGAGGGAGTGGAGGACTCCAGAATATCTGGCGTTGATTTCTATTGACTTGCGGACCCCTCGGGGCCCTTTTATTTGAGTGTACCTTTTTAGGGTAAGTTAGCCTGCGACCACGGGAATCGACCTCGTCGAGTGCTGTACGGACATACGAAGGTACTGTGTAGAGAGAGATCGGAACGGTTTTAATGTGAAGACAACAACAACAACAACAACAACAACAACAACAACAACAACAACAACAACAACAACAACAACAAACGTAAATTTTCTTCTGCTATTGCTACGGCACATATCTGTCTTGAATCCGGAGAGTAGCGTTGACTCTCTCATGACACTCGGTCACAGGATCCCAGATCATGGTGTGTAGAAGCATATTGTGTTCTCCACCGCACTGAGACTGACGTCTTTTCATTGGCCAGCCGGCTGCATAGACGCGCTGCAAAGCTCGTTGTTAGTAAACTTGATCGACTTCATAAGTCGCGAGGGAAGGGATTGCTGTACCCTTCTCGCGATAAAATATCTCAGGCAGGAACCGTAGGAGGGGGTCCAACCCCCCCCTCCTATGTGACCCCGGTTGGGTCGTCTAGCTGGTAGAAGTGGAGGATGGGGGCCAGAGGGGCAGACGACAGTGTCCAATCATAGGAGAAAAAAAAAAAATAGAGTCGATGCTCATAAGAAAAACACACAAACATCGCACAATTTGGCAACATGATACACCTCAATTGTGGTCTGCCATTGGTACCTCAATAATGGGTTACCTTGTCATGATGGAAGGTCAGTTCTTTCGCTTCAAGACTAGCAACGAACCAAGAAGAAGCACGACAAAAATCGCACCTTTATAGAAGTGTGAACACATCAACAACGAAACAAAAGCAGCGACATCAAAAATACATGCACACCCAAAAATCCCAGCCAGACCAGATAGATGCCATAGACCCAACCACAAGCACGTGATTGGCGCATACATATGTATGCACCGTGGTATTTCGTACGTACCGGTCTTCGACGTGGAAGTTGTCGCTTAGCGGGATGCGGTCCTCCACCGTGGTTTGCGTCTCGACGATGCAGCCCTGGCCCCCGAAAAAGCGGGACCGCTGCCGCTTCAGCGTGCGCACGTGTCCCGGGCTGCTCATGAAAGTGATCTGAAAAACCAGGAGGGCGGGATGAGGTGGGGGGTTGTGATCGCTGTCGCCAAGAAACTACGACGGGACAACTACGTTTCGGACAAAAGAGGAGCAAGAACAGATATTGCCTTGACAGCGCGAGATCGTTGCTGCTGTTGTTGCTGCACTACGCAAAGGCCATCGAGGCCACCCCATCTCCTTTGCAAATGCAGCCTCCAAGCGGCAACAGTCCGGTTTACTGTAGCACGAGCGATTCAGCAAAAAGGGAGCGGGAGAGAAGCACGCCACGATGCACTGTACACAAGCGACAGAGAAAAAGGGCAAGTAGAACGGGCCGTGATAGGGATGGTTTCGGGTCATCGATGCACATGGTTACACGGGGTCGGCCGAAGTTGCGGGGAAGACACGACAAAAACAAAAACAAAAAGGTTACCATGAAACTCGACCAAGTTCTCTCTGACCCGCGCACGCCGTACCAAGAGGCAAGTAACGTCAACCTCCCCCCAAAGCGTTTTTACAGAGGTATTCGCCTCACATGCAGGGGCGTCTTAAACCGGATGGCGCGAGTTACGCCTCCCCCTCCGGGAGGACGGGGGCCCCGCAGGCCGCCCCCTCCATTTCCCTTGGTTGAACCCGTGGCTCCTCCCCCTCCTTCTCCTTCCTCTGTCGTCTGCTGCCATTCACTAGCGTCCACCTGTTCGTAATTATTCGTCGTTTGGCGTCGTTTTTGTGGTGAAATGTTGTGACCACCGTCCTCGTTGTCGTGACCACCGTCCTTGTTGTTGTGAAAGGCCTCGTGCACCAAGGTAAGGCGGGAGGCTGTGTCGCTAGTTGTGCGTGTCAAAACGTTTCGCTACATCCAAGTTCGTCAGCATCCACACGCCCACTGATTCGTGTGCTTGGAGCCACGGACAAAACACCACGCGAGATTGCACGCCATGCTCTCTCATCCCCAGAACAACCAAGCCACTCCCTGTACAGACCTCAACATGAAAAAGGGCAAGAATCAGAAACAAGGGACAAAAAAAGAAAAAACTCACTTCCCAGTCGCCTCGGCTCATGTGGAAGTCCGGCAAACTGTACGGGGCGTCGTCGGCGACGAACCTCTCGTAGAATTCCTTCACGGAGACGTCGAACTCTGCCGTCGCTACCTCCGCCTACAGTGAAAAAAAAAGGAAAGACAAGAGGGGGACGTATTCATGTTTTTGCATACCTTGGTTAATAGAACATTGACCACGCGTCCTCGAGAACCGAGAGGGGGGGGGGATTCGGGGAGGAACTTCAACGTATGCATACTGCTCATGTATTGGTCGGGGGGGGGGGTACTCATAGTCGTGCATGCCGTAGTCGTTAGACCATTGACCTCGCATCCCTACAAAGCCGGGACGGAGCACGCCGGGTTCTCACCGGACCAGGCTCTCACATCACCAAGCGCGAAGCGCCGTGAGATATTCGGCGAGTCGCATGAAGGGTGCGCTGCATCCTGCTAAGGGTGTTCGGCATCTTGTGCTTACTTCCTTGCGTACGGATGACAGCTGCGTATGAATTAATTTATTTTCTGGTGCTTTCACTTCCAGAGACAGTTGTAAGCACTGTGTAACTGCCTCGAGGGTGCTTGACCATTTTAACACAACGTGGTGCGATCATCCCCCTTGCGCGGAGTGAGGGTTCACCCCGCACAACATGATCTACTCAACCATCATTATGGTTACCGCCCAAAAAAAATAAACGGAGGAAAAAAAAAAAAACGGTAACCTGGTTGCCGAGTTCACGAAGTGAATTGGCTTGTTTTACAACGTCGTTGCCAAGCGACGAAAACCCAATCCCGATGGCAAACACCGGGGGGGGCGGCTTGTTTTACAACGTCGTTGCCAAGCGACGAAAACCCAACCCCGATGGCAAACACAGGGAGGGGCGGCTTGTTTTACAATGTCGTTGCCAAGCGACGAAAACCCAACCCCGATGGCAAACACCGAGGGGGGGGAGAGTATTGGTCGGGGGTGTCTTAAAATTTTATGTAGGGTAACAACACTAGAAAACAGAAGTAGCACTTCCACTCTCAAAGCTCCGGTAAAAGCCTGACAATGTACGCGCCATGCATACAGTAAATGCGGTTGAAAGTGAGAGGGTGGAAAAATCAGGATGTTGTCCGACGCCCGCCCCCCTCTTTCTCACGTGACTATCGCCTCCCGCAGAAATAGCTTCCTCCATCGCCTTCCTGTCGGCCTCCGGGTCCCCCCCCCCCTCTCCCGCCCCGCCCGCCCGCCCCCCGCTGTCCCACCGCATCATGTTCCACAGCTTGGACCCCTGCCTGACCAGGCCCGCTTTGCGCCCGCCAGCCTCCGCTGCCAGCTGCTTGCCTTTTTCCCCCTCCGCTTGCTCCTGTGCTTTCCCTTCCGACACCTCTCCATCAACACCGCCGCCATTGCCGCCGGCTTTCCGGTGCTCCAAACCGCTCGTCCGAGCCGCTTTCTTCGCCGACTCCGCCGCACCCTCGACCGCAGCTCCCGCTACGGCCGCCGCCGCCGCCGCTCCAACCCCTTTGGCGGCAGCGTGGCCGTCGCCGTCATGCTGCTGTTGCTGTCCTCTCGGCGTCCCCGTCCTCGAAGAGCACGACGCCTCCGGGGAACCCCACCCCGCCCGCCCGGCCCCCGTGATCACCGCGGTCGCGAGGGGCGACGGCCGTTGTTGTCCTTGCCGCTGTTGCCGCTGCTGCCGCCGCCCACTACCGTCGTCCCCGTTCAGGTAAAGCGGCTGCGGCTGCGGCGGCGGCGCCGGGGAAGGCATGTCATGATCAGCCCCCAAAACCGCCAGGCCGAGCTTGGCCGGCCTAGGGGGAACGGCCCCGCCGCCGCCGCTGCTGCTACAGCTGCTGCCGATCGTCGAGGCCCTGACCATGCCGCCGCCGCCGTCTCCCCCCGGGGTCATCGAGTAGGATCTCCCCCTCGCGGTGGTGGCCGCCGCGCCGGCGCCGGCGGGGGCGGCGGACATCCCTCTCGGGGAGGTCGGGAGCGATGAAGAGCCCGATGCTCCGCCACCGCCGCCGCCGCCGCCGCCGGAGTAGGTGGTGGTCCGCACCGGCGGCGGCGACACGGAGTGCCTGACGCGCGGTCTCCTGCCGAAGCTAACCTGTCGTGTGGTACATTCCATCATCATGCGTCATCGTAAACGATGAAACACGGCGAGGGGGGGCTGGGAACCGTGTGCGTGCATCCAGTAAGTGCACCTAAATCGATAGTTTTCCAACAGATGCCTAACATTCTCAGGATCTTTGCGTGCGCTCAGGACCGGGTCTGCAGGTTCTCCAAGGTATCAATAGGACGGAAGCGTTACAAAATGCTTGAAAAGCCTTATAAGGGTCGTTCTTTTCAACACTACCAGGTGGGGGGGAGGGGGGTCGACGGGCGGCAACAAAACAGCTGCGTAGCCTTCGATCGGGGAGGCACTCTCTCTTCTCAGGCACGAAAGGGAAGCATCGGCTTGGACCCACCAGAAAAAATGGGACACAGAAAAAGAAGCGTGGACGGTGCAGGTGTCCGAGGTCTGCTGGGTAGCAGCAGCAGCAACCACGAAAACGCGGTGGTTTGTAGCGATCCGCAAAAAGAGAGCGATTCGATGAGTGGCGGGCGATTTTTTTTTCCCCTTTATTGCAAGGGCGAGTGTGCGTGCTAGTGACCGTTTCGCTGCTGCTGCTCAAACTCACGAAAAACTCGACAGAGCGGGACTGTTAAATATCTCCTCGCAAACACGGGGGAGCGAATCGGGACAACTTTTTTTTTGCCTCGGTCCGATAGGTATACCTCTGAGGAGGAAGAGCTGCTGCTCTCTCGAGGCAGCGCGGACGGCGCCAGCTTTTGGGACACGCTCGCTGGCGGTGGAGAAACAGGCGAAGCCGTCGTCGCGGAGAGATCTTCTACAAGCGGGTACCCGCTCCCTCCCTGACATCCGACAGCAACCGACAAAAACACACACACGAAGGCATGGCGTCATCATCATCATTACACGGCGTTGCACGATGTGCCCGCAAACCAAAGGCAGCGTACGCCACGGCGGTCATAACACTTCCCCACACCATGACAACAATACTCTCAGCATCGGACAGACACGCTTACCGTGGGCAAAAAAGGAGACGTCGATGAAACGACAGGGCATGACCACCATGCCCCCCCCCGTGTCTACGCCATGCAATCAGTACACAAGACGGCGCGTTCCATCATACATACCGTGTGCGCAAAAATGGGGCGGCGATTCGCACGCCTCACGGTAGCTACCGCTTGTCAAGCTGCAAAGGCCGCAACGCTCACGGATCCCCCCCCCCCCCCCGCTCCCAAGAAGACGCGGCGAAACTACATCCGCATACCCTTACCACTCCCCCCCAAAATGAAACAAGACACGGCACCGTGGTGCGCATAAGCGACGGTGCCTTCTAGGACCGGTCGCCAAGACGCTCGCTGGTGTCCTGACAAAAACACACCCACATTGCTCTGAAAACCCGGCCGGCTCGCCTCCCCGTCCCAGCTATTAGCCCTCCACCCCGCCCCCGACCCCTGCGCCGCATCTGACGAAGTCCCCGATGGCGGCAACTGGCGGTCGCCTTCCCCGCCGTCCCCGTCGGCGTCCTCTACCAGCGTCTTGAACTTGGCTTGTTCTGCCCGGGCAAGGACGTCTCCTGCCTCGCGCCTCAGATCTTCCAGCAGGCTGTGGCACTCGTCCCTTTCCCAGAACGCTCGGAACACAAAGTCCTTTCGAAGTAGTGTTGTTGTTGGTGTTTTTTGTATTGGTCGCGCGGTTGTTACGTGCGGCGCGCGCGATCCGCCCCGTTCGATCCAAATATTTGGCGGCATGCGTGAGAGGGAGATAATCGTTCGGAAGGTTGTGAAGTGGCGCGGTGAGTACGGGTGGGGGGGGAGAGAGAGAGAGGCAGAGAGAGGGGCCGAGAGGACCGAGACAGAGACAGACGAGATGGAGATAGAGCGACAAAACAGAGGAAGGCCACCGCGAGTGGGTGCGGGGGTTCGGTGAAGATATCACCTCGACAAGACTCCATGGCACATGACACTGCCGTCGGTGGGGGCGGCCCTACAGCAGCACACCAATCCAGATCTACCAAGAAGAGCTCATGTGTGCAAGGAAGCACAATTTCCGCAGATTCTTTCATTCCCCCCCCAACACGTATCTGACAAGACTTTGTAGATACCTTTCCGGATTTGTCCTGCACGACGACGACATTGGGGATGAAGATAGCCGAGTTGCCCTTGCTGCACCTCGCGACATCTTCGTGCCTGTTGTTGTCACGGGCGGAAAGAGCGGCCAAAAGTAAAACACCAAAAGGACAAAAGGGGGAACTGAACTGAGCGAGAGGGGGCGGGGGGGGGGGGGGTACTCATCGTCGTGCATGCCGTAGTCGTTCGANCATGATGGGTGCGCTGCATCCTGCTAAGGGTGTTCGGCATCTTGTGCTTACTTCCTTGCATACGGATGACAACTGGATATAACTTAATTTATTTTCTGGTGCTTCACTTCCAGAGACAGTTGTAAGCACTGTGTAACTGCCTCGAGGGTGCTTGACCCATTTAACACAACGTGGTGCGTTTATCCCCCTTGCGCGGAGTGAGGCTTCTCGACCCCGCACAATATGATCTACTCGACCACCATTCATGGTTACCGCCAAAAATAAGAGGTGAGAAAAAAACAAAAACGGTAACCTGGTTGCCGAGCTCACGAAGTGAGTTGGCTTGATTTACAACGTCGTTGCCAAGCAACGAAAACCCAACCCCGATGGCAAACACCGAGGGGGGGGGCTTGTTTCACAACGTCGTTGCCAAGCGAGAGGGGCAAGGAGAAAAGAGGAAATCTACGGGAAACAGGTGGGACCAAACTAGATGGGCCATTGCTTGCAGTTTATCCTGGACTTTGTATCTGTGAATGGAGATTGCATTGTTTTGTTTCTTGAACGCAAAAAATAAGCGTTCGAGCTCCAAGAGAAGGAAGGTGAGCACAAGTACAGGGGTGACGCAAATTCAACTACCACTACTACTACTGACGTGGGGTAGGTATGCATGACCACAGGTGCTTGATGCAGGCACTCGCTACGCTGTAGCACCGATACAGATGGACCTCCCGAGTATTCCGACCCCTCCCCCCCCAACGTCACGGCTGCTTTCGTTTTGCGCAAGACCCTAACGAAACGCCAACCCTTCCTCCTACGGTTCGGAATGCCGCTTTCGCATTCGGGTAGTAAAACCCCCGCCTTCCGTCTCCAAAAACCGAACACACCTGCACCGCCGTTCTCCTCTCCACCCCCGACGCTTGATTTCATCGAATGGCTGATGCCACCTATCTGCCACACAAACCCCGCCATAGTCCTAGAAAGCAACACCACACACACACTTCACTTCTCTCCTCTTTACCCCCCGACGTTTGTTCTCGTCGGTGGTTGGTGGCGCCGCTACTGTTTTCGACAATTTTTCCCACACACCCACCGCACCTCAAGGACATCTTCGCCTCCAGCCCGAAAAAGTTGGCGTAGAAGCACAGCCTTCGCTCGGTCACGTACATTCGGCCGTGCATCACCACCTTGTGGTCCCACGCGCACGAGAAGTCTGGGCGGGGCCGCCGCACCGTGGTCGACGGGCGCACAAGACAGCGAGCCGGCAGCGCACCACCAGCAGCAAGGGCGGCAAAGGTACCCGAGCCACGACCGAGGGGGAGAAGAAGTAGGAGGAGGAGAAGGAGAAGGAGAAGGAGGAGGAGGAGGAGGAGGAGGAGTTGAGGTGTCAAGGGGACTCTGTCACAACAGCAGTACTTTTCAGCGAGACAACATGTACGCAAAACGCGATAGGCAACAACAATTCTGTGCGCTGACTACCGCTGTGATGGTGGGTCTGAGGAGCTGCTGTTGAGGCCAACTCACCCCTGATGAGCGGTCCGACATCTCCGAAGATCTGGTAGCAGATGTCCTCCCGAAGGGCAAGGTCTTCCGCAGTGACCGCCACACCATTGCTTCCTCGACCCTGTCGTTGACGACCATTTGCAGCAACAGCAACAGCAACAGCAACAGCAACAGCAACAGCAACAGCAGCAGCAGCAGCAGCAAATATCACGTCAATGACCACAAGCTAGATGGCCAAAGAGGCCGAGAGGGCGGGCGGGCGCGAAAGAAACAAGTTGCAGTGAGACGCGCGCGTGGTCTAGCTTTCATCAGAGGCAAACCGTTGCAATCCAGTTGGTAGCACAAAGCGGGATTTAATAGCGCGCACACACTGAGTTGAACCTTCGAACTTGATGTGCACATCGCAAACAAAATTAGGCCAACCAATGCCGTGCACCAGGTATTGCCAAAAATGCAGGAACAGACGCATGCATGTTTTCTAGCGCGAATCATCCATCTCTTGCTATGCTTGCCCAGTTGAGGGGAAAGAGGAGGTGCTGCCATCAATACTACTGTCAATGAGAGGGCAGAACGGCAACACGAAGAGTGCTTCGAGACAACGTGTATGTGCATGACATCAAAATGCCCGGGTTCGAGACTAACCTCCCATTGTACAAAGCAGTGTTTCTGGTGCGATTCAGCGAATAATGAGCACGTCTTTTTAGGTCAGCTACAAACGTGTCTCCTTGACCGTGCGATGCGAGATGTTCGTAACAAACTCAGCGCGAACTACGGACTGCACCATGCCCAAAGCGACGGCGGCGCTGGTAGAACATCGCTTGCTACTAAGAAGTACTGCAGCACACACGCCTCTCGGACCACTCCACAGCGTACAAATCTCTGGTGGACAAATCATGAAGGTTCAGATTTCTCAGAACTTGGAAAGGGCAACTTCCGCACTATTCCCAATTCTGTGTTGTGTGAGTGAACCGGCCAGACACGTGGTGTTTGTTGTTTGTGGCCATGTCATCTATTCTATTCTGGATATAGAGTAGTAACCTTTCGGTGCGCATACTCTGTGTGGAGAACAGCTAGCTTGAGCACACACAGGAAGGCGAATGGGATTTTTCTGTGTCGTCTCCAGCTTGTTGCGGAGGTGATTGCCGTACTTTTTTTTTTGTGCGATCAATTCAGCCGTCGACTTTCTGATAGACGGCGACTAGCAGTCCCTCTGTTATTTTATTTTATTTTATTTTATTTTCTCTCCCATCATTGGACTCTGTCGTCTGCCCCTCTGGCCCCTATTCTCCATTTCTACTGGCTAGACGACCCAACCGGGGTCACATAGGAGGGGGGGGGTTGGACCCCCTCCTGCGGTTCCTGCCTGAGATATTTTTATCGCGACTAGGGTACAGTAATCCCTTCCCTCGCAGCGGATGAAGTGGGTCATGTTTACTAATAACGCGCTTCGAAGCGCGTCGCTCCCAACGGAGACCAGGATGTAAGTAGTGACAAAAAACTCACTCTGGCGGGACTCGGACCCATGACCTGGCCCTTACAGAAGGCTGCGAGATTACCCACTAGACCACCGGGGCGACCGGGGCCGAATGAAATAGGCCGGTGCCCGATGCAAGACCGGAGAAATCTCGTTGACACCACACAGATACAACATTTTCAAAGTACCCTCTTGCTACGTGTGCCGGCCGGGTGGTATAACGCCGGCCAAACCCCGTGGCACCATGCAGATATTAGGGACCACTACACTGCTGTAGTCACACGCATATGCATAAGGTATGCATACATGACCCGCGGCCCCCGGACTGTGAATAATTACCCGGTGTGGTTTTGTTGGTGGCGCTCAAAAGAATTATTTGCTGTAAGAACACCCCCTCGGTCGACTAAAAGCATGTCTGCATTGCACCAATCCCTACACGGACTTGGCTTTAGACATGGGTCATTACACAAAAAGTAGTTGCAGGCAAGACTGGCATCGGGTGGGGACTCTCTCTCGCGGCTAGCTAGGCGCCAGTTGGACAATCTCTGGTTTGTGTCGAGGTGCCAAAGCAGCTGCTAGTTGGTACTGCTGTATCTACCACCACCGAGCTTTTGCAACCACGGGTACGTTTCTCTCCCACACAAGGTTCGAACCGATGGGGTGCTGACCCTGCAAGCAGGCCGCTCGCGCGCATCGCACGGCTTCTACCCAGCAGAAAATCGGGCGACGGCCGACCTGCCTGCTCAACGCCACAGCCCGCATGACCTGAGCAGGAACCAAGCCAACGCATGTTCTCTCACTCTCTGAAACAGAGTCAACTCTGCTCAATCAACAAAGAATATTGGTCTGTCCTGTTTTGCGTCTACTGGATCCATCCACCTCTGGTTTCTTGGCACTAGCTTCTTGCTTGGACACTCCACCGCCGTTGCTGTTGTTCTCTCCCGCCATGAGAATACCAGTGCCTTCACATGGGCCTTCCTCACGCCGTTTGTCCGCCGTGACTGCTGCTAGCTCGCCTTCTTAGTGTTCGCAGCACACGAACCGCACCCACAACTATTATTCCGGGGGCCCACGGAGTGGAAGAGGTACGAGGGTAGGGGGGGGGCTTTCGGATCTATAGGACAATGGATTTGTGCGTAAGATACCACCCCCCAGGACCGACTACTATTGAACACATGATTTATCTGCAGCGAAAACAGCGACGATGCCGAATATGACGGCGTTGGAACCGTCTCGTGGAGAGCTTTCCGAAAATGTCAGTTTGAATGAAGTACCTCCTTCTTCATGGAGTAATCGACTTTTAATGTATCGGTCCAGGGGTATCTTGGGCAATGGACGGAAGTATCGCGTGAAAGTGCATTTACTGCAGTAATCTAATGTACAGAAGTACACCAACCATGACACAGATGAAGTCCACAGCCGTACCCCTCTTGTTGCTTATTGTGTGCTGTTGGGCCGATCAGGCCGAGGAATCGAGGGAGGCGTACATTGGGATGTTCCAACAACCCCTCTGCTTCCTTTCGCCAGACGGTTGCGCACGTTCGACCGGCGCACGCATGCTTCGTCTGAAGTAATACTACCGCTGTAAGTGAAGTACCTCCCCACAGCTGTATAATATTAGCACCCAGTTGTGAGCGGTGCTCCTTTCGACGCTCATCATGGCTACAGGCAGTACGAATGACGAACTGCAGGCCAACACTCTGTTCAGCGCATGGTTGCGTGCACGAACAAAGAACAGTGCGTACAATACGTCTGTCTCAGAACCTTCGCGGCTCTTGTTTTTTCCGCGAAAATATTCCAGTCTCTGTGGGAGCATGTGGGGGGGATGCCCAACCTCGTTCTTTTGGAAACAATTACACTTGTGCCTGCGTGGGGGCAACTGGCCTCAAGAGACAGGTGAGCTTGCGGTACCGCAGCTCGAGCGACAGCACAGAGAAGCATTTCCCGACGGTAATACACACATGAGGAGTGGTATGAGCTATGACAGAATGTAAGAGCATGGACAACAAAGGCATCCATAAAAAAGAGCAAAGAACGACAATTCACGCTGTAACGAATACAGGCGCTCGCCAAATGGGAAAGTACTTGACTGATACCGGGAATCCCACGAACAAATCTGAGCCATTTCAGCGCCGAACCACACAAAAAATCGAAACTCTTTCGACCACACAACAAATGGGCTGTGCAGCACTGCAAAGTACCATTTCCCCGTTTTTCTCACCCTACAGCAGGATTCCAAGACCTGCTACAATGTACAAACTACACTACACCTGTTAGGACTTGCTGTGACATCACTGACCGTACCCCTCACCAAACAAACAAAGAACACGGTTACCAAAAGCAAGGAGCACGATCTAGACGGTGACGCAAAAACGGGCGTCATTTCTATAATTGTGTCGCCAGCTCTCCTTCACCGAGCACAGACGGGAGAAACAGCGCCTTTTAATAGGTGCCGTAGTACGCTTCAACCAGGCGCGTATACTCCTCCTTGAACATAAACATCAAGACCTGGGGATCAGCGGGGCGAAAGAACAGGAGGGTCAAATGGTGCAGGGACGAGCCCGCCAAGAGGAAGGAAGGATTGAGATAGATCCAGGGGAGGGACAACCGCCGACCTCCAGCTTCGAAGGTTAATCAATGCTACATAATTCTGGGAGCACCTACTTTCAGGACCGTCAGTATGTCTCTCTCTCTCGCCATCCGTGGGAATTGAGGGGAAGAGGGTGAGGGACGGGGGTAGCCTTTCCCCTCCCCCTTTTTACCCGTATCCAAGACTCAAGCGCACGCGGGCCATCAAATGGGTATTGAACCTGACGACTACGTGCTAGGAGCAATTCCGCGGGATTTGCGGAATGCGCTGCGCGACGACGCTACCGCCTCCCGCACAGACACGTCCTCTCATCTACCACCGAAGTTTTCACAGCCAAATACCGACGCTGCTGCTGGTGCTGGTGCTGTACCAACGTCGCCGAACGAAATAATACCGCAATAATCTCAAATAAAAACCTAAATCATCCCCGCCCGGTCTTCTTCCCTCGCCGCCCCCCTCGCAACCTTTGACACCAGGGCCCGTTCGACTGCTAGGTTCAAAAAAAAAAAATAGTGCTCTGCTTTTACGGCGGATGAACAACTAACTTAGAAACGGGAAAAACGCTTCCCAACTCCTCGGATCTACTATAATTCCACCGCACCGTGTGCGTGCCAGAGCGCAAGAAGTACGGGGTGAAGCCCTTCCAGAGGCTGAAGAATCCTTCCGACTTGGCGATGTGGGACAGGGTCTGCAGCGTCGACGTGTACTTGAGCGGCTTCCCGTCCGTGCTCGCCGCCTGGCTCTGCATCCGAGTCTTAGCCGAGTCCTGCCCGCCAAAAACAAACACAAGGGAGGGGGCAAACAACCGAGGGGATTGATTCGAGAAACCAGGGGCTGGTCGCGCCCTTCCAACGTTGTATCACTGCTGTTCCGGGAAAAATCGCGTGCGTTCATCGTGCGAGAAGATACCACAATCGTTAGCGGAACGTGAACGAAACCCGCAAGTGCCTGCCTGAGTTTGCCCGCGCGGGCACCCTTCTTGAAGGCTTAGTTCGCGGGCGCGGCAATCCTGGGTAGAACGTATCTAAACGATACACCGGAGGCCTTGCAATCTTAATACCGCCGCAACCCTCGCCTTACGCCCCAACCGCTGGCTACACGTTAAGCTTCGTAGTGTACGTGTACTTCGCATCCTGGTTTCATCACGTCAACACCCCCCCCGTATCTGATTGAGCAATCTCCTGCTGGTCCAAAAGCGACACGCACACCGGCCGGTGGTAATTTGCACGGGACTGATACAAAACCAACCGTGGACGAACACACTCGCCAAGGGAAGCGAGGCGTAGGAGTATACCACCGCCGCCGTCAGCGCGGAGGCGAGGTGCAACCCCTTGTTGTCCCCCAGGATGGGCAGGAGCACGGTCTTGGCCTGGTCATACGTCCCCAGCTGCGTCATGGACACCACCATGGCCCGCGAGACTGCTCAACCGTTTACGTTTCACCCCAACGATCAGGCACAAACCAGAGAGGAACATGGGCAGTTGACCTTGTCTTCTTGTGTGAACACAGAAGGAACACAAGGTAAAGCGGTTGTTATAGGCCCACACGACGACCCCGTGACCACGTTGCGGCTTCGAGCGCCAGGTGGACACCTGGAAATCGGTCGCTATTTGTTTAGGTAGGTTGTCCCGCCAGCAGCAAGCGTCTAGCTGCCACGCGCGAGGACAAAAACTAGCGTCCGGCATAATCTCCAAACAAGTAACAAGAGACGCAACGTCGAACACTGCGGCGCGTGATTCTGATCCTCCTACCCCACTGTACACTGCTGTGTTCCCTCGATCCTCCGATCGCTAAAGTTCGTTGCGCCTCCCTCTAATACGACGTCTCAAAAGCTGGAATTCAAAGCTAATGATGACAGTTCAAAAGTGTGTGTGTGTCTACACTGTCCGACTGTTCCCCCGCTACACCTGCGTCTTGAACCTTACCCGTGGGCGTCGCCCCTCGCCAGTACGTCCGCAGCCCTTCCTCCTTGGCGATGCGGAAGAGTGCGTCCCCGATGTGCTTGTAGCCCAGTCGATCTGCCTGCGGTAGGCGGGCGTCGGACTGCATCCGCACCATGCACACCTGCGCCCCCCCGATAGATACGGTTTGTGGTCGAAATTTTACCGTGAGACAATAGGCATGGAACATAACGAGGACACACACAAGAACGGCGCTGCAAAGCAACCACCGCTGGCGATGTAGCAAAAAAGAGCAACTGCAGAAGTAAGCCAAATCTATACCTGTGCACGGGAGATCAAGGGGTTGGCAGCTCACGTGCACGATGTTGACCAAAACGACGTTGCACAATCAGAACAACGAATGAAAACAAAACACAAGAACAAGAACAATAACGTATTTACCTCTATGGGACAGCACATGAAGGAGGCGATACCGCCCGCCGTGAGGCCGACTGCAGCTCTGTGCAGGACGTTCACGTCCTCCTGCTTAACGAACTTATGTACCGCATGATCCTGCGAAGGAAGGAGATGAACAAAGATTTTCGGATGAACGAGGAAGACTCTCGATTCCATGGACGACGAGTAGGCGAAAAACGCATTCACGGGGCACGCGCCGTAGCCGGTGATACCCAGACAGATGTAGGGGGAGACTCGCTCCTTTTCCACGTGTCGCCCTTACCGCAAACGTGCAAGCAGCAGAGCAGGGTTCCGACAACCAAGAGAGACAAACTTAAAACATGGCTGATCAGAATCCGGGGACGAAAGAAATCGGGCGACAACAACTGCTGCCTGTGACTTTGTCCATCGCCGGCTACACCGCCGTTCTCGGCGATTTCCGGCCGGCCCAACCTTTCCAGGCTCTACTCCCTCCCTCACCCGTATCCAGTCGTACAGCCCGACCCTCAGCGTGGTGTAGACGGCCTGCCTGGTCACCGCCGCCGACAGCCCCGCGTACATGCCCGTCAGCCCGCTCTCCCCGTAGACAAGCTTCGCGGCCGTCATGGGGTGCCCGGCGCCGGCCCCGAGCTGCATGCGAACCTGCGGCGGGAAGCCAACACATGTTGAGTTGGTGTGTGTAAATGATAGGTAGGGACGGCCAGCCGCTTCTTAAATAGCGAATGGCGTCACGAGATGTACAAGAGGGAACGTGAACGAGATGCGGTCATTCCGAGGAGCCCTCCGTGTCGGGGCAAAATCGAGGCAATATATCCTGCTGGCATGTAAATTTTTCTCTTCGTGCTCGTTGATACTTTTAGGTGTTTCAAGACGACAGCAGCATTATCCCGTGCAAGTAGAGTGCACGGAAATCCACCTGCTAGCTTACAGGTCTTCTTGTGTGGTCGGCCCTTCTTACCGAACAGATCACATGGGGTGCTTACGGGTCAATATTATCGAGGGGTGATAAACGCCTTCCAAATGGTTGGGAGGCATCTCGCGGGAAAAGAGGAAAACAAAGGCGTTTCTGATGTGGATGTATCCATCACACTTCATATTGTGTTTGCATAGGACCAAAAGAATGCTGTTGAGAACTCCACAATTGGTGAACTGGTGTAGGCCCAATCTGATGGGTTTGGAAAGCCTCCAGCAGTATCTTACCATTCTGGGCCTGCTGTTGTAGTCTAGGGCTGGGCGCCCGCAGCATGCTGAGGACTCTGCAACACGATTGAACCTTCCTCATCCTATGATCACCCTCTCTCATGCACTGAAGCTTCCGATTGTAACCACCAAGTTGCTCGCAAACTGCCGCCCATACGCAAGCATGTAGAGGACTCCCCGTACTGCTCCTTGACGGTGAGTCTGTGCACACCACCCCGAGGTGGCCCAAAGTCTTCTCTAACAACACTACAGGCTCATGGTACTGCAGGAAGCCATCATATCCATATATCAGAGTCGCGGTGTGACTCTGCTCCCCAACGTATTTAGAGTACGAACGGCGTTGCGGTAGGTGTGTGTGACCGGGTATTGGGGGGTAAGAGATGCGGCGGAATTAGGTCTGTGGAGCTATCAGAACATTTTTTGGATGAATTTTGACGAACGAGCGGTCGTACTGCTGTCGGGTACAGGCAGAACTCTTGGCAAGGGAAATTAAATGAAGGCATTGACAAAAAGAGGGGTCCAGCTATGAGAGTTCATCTTCACGTATCAAAGGGCGAGCTCCACGAGATCATAAGTGGATGCTACTCGAGTACACTGCTGTAGTCTCTGCTGCCCAAAATTCGTGCAAGCTGACCTTGACAACATCCATTGGATGCACGAACATCCACGCGGAGATCCCACTCGCACCGGCAATCCCAAACTTCACGGCTGTGGGAATCCCATCGGAGGGTCCGACACCAGGTTTTGGGGTCATGGCAGTCCCTGTTGTGTTGTACAAGGAGCTGGTTGGTGGATAATGGATAATTAAAAGTGGTGCGGAGGGAGTTGGTATTGTAGGGTCCTCGCGTTCCCTTGGTAGGGAACGCGCACACATACAATATTTCTATCCAATTCCATGCTTCGCGGGTGTGTGGCTAAGACACGCCCCATGCATACCACGTGTCCTGTGTTCCTGAGACCTTGTGGTGCGTGTGCTACGAACAAAATGCCGAATTCCGTATGACACAAGTAGTAGCAGCAGCCGCGCCGACGAGACGAAGATACAATTTCCGTTACGTTTCTTATTCTTCTCTCTCCATCTATCTCTCTCCCTCGGCATGCCACCCGGCTGAACATTTGCCCACCGCACGGGATCTCGTGTGGGTGTCACCGATCATGACTTCCACCAGCTATCAAGCACGAGAGCGCACTAAGGTGGACGCCAACCGCTACACACCCAACACAGCCGAGGTGTGTGGACTCATATTGACGTTGACTAAAACAACACTGATGCTGTTGTATCAAACACGTAGCGGTGAATGAACTATGCTGCTCTCGAGGAATGATGTGTTGCCTTACCAGTGAAGTTTGAGTGACTCCTGCTGGATGTACATGAGTCTGTGTGACGGTTTGCTCTCACCACCTTACATACCGCACAAGCCAACATACCCTCATACATATATATGTAAGATAACACCCCCTCCGCACAATACGGCGTTGTTGTTGGTACATATGCGTAGTGATAAAAAAAAGTACCTATTTTTGCGGGTCAACACAAGCCAGAATATAAGACAACTACTGCTGTACTCGCAGTACACTAAAGCCCACAACAGTAATACTTGTAGATCGTCTTTGACCACATGAGCTACCACACCTCCACCGCAATACCCCCGGCGACCATTTGATTTGTTTTGGGAAGCCAGAAAATACTCCGGGAGGCATGACTGTTGTACTGCTGTAGCACACAAAGGCAAGCGTTCATGTTGCCAGCCTGTGTTTCTGTCTGTCTGTGTGATTCGCCAATGATTTATTTCTTCTTCATCTGCTGCTAGGTATTTTGAGTTTAATCCTTCAGAGACACACACGTATCCACTCCTGCGAAAAGAGTTGTTGGCGTGCAGTTTTGATGGACCAAGGACTTGATTCAATGTCAAGTGATCTTGGTTCGCCATTCTGGACATCGGTGGGCATCACCGTGTTAGGTTGGGAACCGCCGCACACACACACAACAGCAGTTCGACTATTGGTTATGACATCTTACAACCTACAGGCACGCCTTGCTCATACTCCGACAACCCGAAGTATTGTAGTGTCGATGCATGGCGATTCTCCGTGTGCTCAAATGTTGGCGGGGAGAGATAGTCTCCACATCCAGCATAAAACAAATGAATATTGCCGTTCGTAATGGGCCTGCACCAATATTCACGCCAAGTCCAAATATTTGTTCACTTTCGGTATCAGTGTATCCCGACAGCACCTGCTTTTACGTAGTGATGTCGTTCGAACTGTCATGTCGTTGCTGTTGTTGTTGCTGTTGTTGTTGTCTTCACATTAAAAACCATTCCGATCTCTCTCTACCCAGTGACTTCATATGTCCGCACTGATCCAACACTTGACGCGGTCGATTCCCGTGGTCACAGGCTAACTAACTCTAAAAAAAGGTACACTCAAGTAAACAGTTATGTGGGTTCCCCCCAAAACACAACGAAAACTGCCTCTATGTGCTGGACGTATTCTGTTGCTATTGAACAAACGTATTCATGCACCAAAAGAAAATATTAACCCATGTTCTGGCGGTGTGAGTGTGAGTATCCCATGCAATGCATGAGTTCATGTTTCATGGTGAGCACACCAATTATTTTCATGGTACGACCGCCAAAAAAGAAAGGTGCACACTACAGCTGTGGTAGTGCTTGTGCAAACGATCTGACCAGACATTGTGTCTCCCTCTGTTTTCTTCCTTGGTGGTCCCTGCCTTCATGCCGACGACGTGCCCAACATCCAAAAGTGGGTTTCCCTAAATCGCTGCCCCAGCCACGAGATCGAGAGAGTTCTTGACAACTTCCGCCAAGCAGCTCAGCATTCGCTTGGTCGACCACAGTCAACGCTTCTCCCTCGTCATGAGATCAACAGCAGACGCACGCTTCGCTACCTCAATGGACTGAAGGGGGGCTGGAACACAGGCAAGCCTCGGGCAGCAAGCGAGATCAGCCTGTAGCACCTGTGCTCATGACCAACTTGTACTCTGATCTCCGTCGAAAAGATCCCATCACCTTCTCTGGCTTGGTACTACCATACACCCTAGTGAAGACGGTGATAGTTGGCGCTGGGCACTCGTATGCTCATTGTGCAAGCCGCCGACGAACACGGACATGCAAAACATAAACCGACATGGCCTGAGATTGTGACATATATGTTTAGGCACCATACATCCATCGCCTTGTTCTCCGACAAACCCGTCACGAACCTCTGATACACAGCCGACGACAGGACGCGCGAGTTCAAGGAATTCAGTGTCCACCAGCGGAGGAACCTTCCCGATAACAACCGCCGTGCTGCGCTTCCAGAATGGTCGACTAGCAAAATTAATGGTTGTGGCGTGGTCGGCGGTGGCACGAGCCCGTCTTCCCCGCACTCGCAATGTAAGGAGGGCAACCATGCCATGTTCCCGGGGTGGCTGCTTCGAGAGATGGAGCTCCGACAGCTCGCAAGCGCAGACCCTTCTACGTTAGAGCAAAGGAGAGAGGAAGCCGCGCTGTGGATCAAGAAGGAGGTGGGGGGGGGGGGACTCATAGTCGTGCATGCCGTAGTCGTTAGATCATTGACCTCGCATCCCTACAAAGCCGGGACGGAGCACGCCGGGTTCTCACCGGACCAGGCTCTCACATCACCAAGCGCGAAGCGCCGTGAGATATTCGGCGAGTCGCATGAAGGGTGCCCTGCATCCTGCTAAGGGTGTTCGGCATCTTGTGCTTACTTCCTTGCGTACGGATGACAGCTGCGTATGACTTAATTTATTTTCTGGTGCTTTCACTTTCAGAGACAGTTGTAAGCACCGTGTAACTGCCTCGAGAGTGGTGACCAATTTTCACACAACGTGGTGCGCTTATCCCCCTTGCGCGGAGTGAGGGTTCTCGACCCCGCACAACATGATCTTCTCGACCACCATTGATGGTTACCGCAAAAAATAATAACAGAGGTAAGAAGAAAACAAGCGGTAACCTGGTTGCCGAGCTCACGAAATGATTGGCTTGTTTCACAGAGTCGTTGCGAAGCGACGAAAACCCAACCGCGATGGCAAACACCGGGGGGGGAGGAGGGGGGGGGGGCATGTGGTATTTAATCTCGATCGGGCGTGTGACCCACGTCATCGACTGGGTGGAAGAAAGTTGCATGAAATTTTGTGTCGCTCTGGGCTTGTTACCCACGTCAGAGCGTCAACGAACTGTGGCGGAGAGGCAGGGCATGTGGCCACCGGAGGCAGTTCCCTTTACGCACCTGGCCTCTTTGTAAGGTGTGCACAAAGCAATTGCACACAAGGCATGCTTTCCAGAGGAGAGCTGACGAGAGTCTGCCGCTCGCAATACTGTCGATACCGCCGACCGCGCAGTTGGGGGCGTCACCGTCCGTCATGTTTGGAGACGACATGCCCTGGTATGCCAAGAGCGCCAACAGCCAGCAAACCAGGGCAGCCAGTGCAAGGCAGCGGCGCCGGCCGGACGGAAGGATGGTGAGAGCCTACCACGAGCCTGCCAATGAACACGTTGGTGTGGTTTTCAGAAAGGACTTGAGACAAGTTTCCCAACAATGTCACATTAGGCGTCGTCGGCTTCCTTGGCAGAAAGGAGCGCGTTGTGCACGCTCACAAACTGCAAATTTGTGAAGACTGGTTTGGCCGGCAGTCCGTGCTACCCCCATACACGAGTCTCCTTTCAAGGCGAACGTCTCTGGGAGCGTAGTAGCGGCTTCTGGACATTCTACTATGTACCTAGCTGATGTTGTGCCCTAACGACCCGACTCACCACCATCGCAGCCCAGCGCGACTACATTGAACCGTTGAATTTCCTTCGCCTTCTCAACGATGCGCGATACATTCTGTGTACCACAATCAGGGCCAACCGACCCGAGAAGATAGGGATGGCCCCTTTCTACGAGGTAGCGGGGGCGGCGGGAGGTCTACGCAGGCGTCTACCGGCCTTCCCAGATACCCATCCTCCCTTGATGGTGAGAATTCAGCCACAAATTTATTTGGACAGTAGAACAGGGGAACTAGGCGTCGCACAGTTCAGCAAAAAAGTATCCGCCACACCGGTCTTGTTCGGCCCGGAGTTGGTATCCAGGATACTACAGGAGCGGGTGCAATAGGTGTCCAACCGTCAGCCCTGTTGTGAATTGGACTTCGTCAACGCAACCGGTACTTTTGGAAGTGAGATTTGAAAAATCTAGGTCGTTCCTCAATCTCACACGGTCGCAGAAACTTGTTGTTGCTTGTGCTGATGCCAAGAGCAAAAACGTGCACTACAACACGGCTGGTACGAGGCCAAACTAACAGTATCTACTGCGTTCGAATAGGCAAGAAGGTCCTCACCAACGTACCGCCTCCGGTATACCGTGCTGGTGGTGGCTTGAAGAAAGGGAGGTCTCCCACTGGGTCAGGGTGGGAGTTCTTCGTGTCCAAGTTGGTGTTCAACAAAACAGAGCGGTAAGAACGCAAGACGGGAAAGGGTACAACGGTTTTGCTTCAAGTTTGACATTGAGTCAGCAACGAGTTGCGGTATAAGGAAGTCCCGCCAGACGGCATCCCTTGTCGGCCTGATCGTCGCGTTGTGCTGTGCGGACTACAGTACCAGAAAGAATGCAGTAAAGTCACGTTCAGTTTGAAAAATCGCGTTAATCTTGCTGGCTTGTTTCCTTGTCCTCCGCTCATCACCATCTAGGGGCACATCAAGGTAGCCTCCATACAAGGATGCAATCTTATATCCTCCTTTCGCGTGACGGCTTCCCTACGGTACTTCGTTGGTGAA